TGAAATGCAAGTGCGGCATGAAAACAGCAATCTCTTCTATGCAATCTTTGCTGGTCTTTGGGTCAAAGCTTTTGCAAGCATGGAGGAAAGGCTCTGCTACAGATACCTTCTGGCAGAAGGATCGAAGCAAAGCCCTGTGGTAATTGCCTGGCTGCTCACCATAATTGCCTGCACTGGCCAGAAGTGCTATCTCTGGGTGTGTGCACCCATCCAGATTGGCCAAGTGCGACAGCCTCTGCACTTCTGCTGCAGACACCTTACCATGGGCCCACAGAGATAGCAATTTTGTTGCAAAATTGCTTGGCTGTGCAGCTTCCACAGCCCTGGGCTCTTCCTGCCCTGCTTCCACAAGCTCCACATCTTTTTTCCACCCTCGCAATCTCTTGGCTGAGGGCATTGCTGGCAATCCTTTTGCAAGGTCCTTTTTCAAGGTAATGAGCAATGTCCTTTTTCAAGGTAATGAGCAGTGTCCTTTTTCAAGGGATTTCCTTTTGCAAGGGATATGGATCCTTTTGCAAGGGGTATCCTTTTGCAAGGAAATGCCCTTGGGAAGGGCAAGCTACCTTCTACCTTTTTCTATATATACAGCCAACTCTTGCTTTGAATGGCTTGAAAACCTCAAACAGCTGCAGAGAAGGTGCACATGTATGTACATGCCTGGTTCCTGTGTGGCTTGCAACATGCTGCATCTGGACACACCACACATATGGATGCTTGTTTTTGACCACTTTGCAGTGCCAGTCATGACAGCCAAGCATTTTCTTGGACTGTGCTATCTAAAAAAAACCTTTTGCAAGGTTACAAAACATCCTTTTGCAAGGTACTGTACAAACCTTTTGCAAGGGGAAACCTTTTACAAGGCAAGGTCCTTTTGCAAGGGGTCATCCTTTTGCAAGGGTTACCTTTTGCAAGGCTATTCATGAAGAAAGCTTGGGGGAAGGTGTGCTCAACCCTTTTACAAGGGCTGCCTTCTGGGAAGATACCCTTTTACAAGGGTGGCAAGGGCAGGAGGAATCCTTTTGCAAGGTGTTTGGAGGCTTTTGCAAGGATGCCCTTTTGCAAGGGTTCCTCACCCTTTCTCAAGGACCTTTTTCAAGGGGTCACTTGGCAGTGGATGCCTTGCTGAAGGCCTTGTTTGCCAACTGCTTCAGCTCCTTTGCCTCTTCCTTAGCATCCTTGCAGAGGGAAGCACACTTCACCAGAGCAGGCTTGAGGACTTCCAGAGAAGGCTTCTTTGCAAGCACATTTTTCAAGTGCAATTGAGCCTTTTTCAAGGCTTGCAGCTTCTTCTCAGTGTCCTCCCTGGCCGATTTGGACAGTCTGGATTTGGCCTTTTCCAAGACTTCCTCCAAATCATCCAGCTGGCTGAAGCAAGCATCTCTTGCCCTCTTGGCCCTTTTCATAACCTTTTCCAAGGTCTCCTCTGGTGGTTGCTCCTCTTCCTCCTCTTCCTCTTCCTGCAGGTCATCCTCCTCTTGGTCCTTGTCCTTGATGGCCAGCACTGGAACCTTGCCTTTCCCTTTGCCTTTTCCCTTGCCTTTGTCTTTCCCTTTTCCAAGGGCTTTCCCTTTTCCAAGGGGATGGGCTTCCAGCTCAATGGCAAGCACACCACTGTGGCCATCAGCACCCCACAGGCTGGCAAAGGCTTCTTCCTCCTGCTCATCAGGGTCATACTCCACACCCTTTGAAGTGCTTCTGCCCTTCTTGACTTTGCTTTCTTTCATGAATGAGGCAGTGTCCTGGTACTCATACACACCAGGGGTGTGTGGACATACCCTCCAGATGATGCGACCAGTGGCCAGGTGGGCATCAAACTCTTCTACCTCCATGAGCTGCAAGAATTCTTTCTTGCTAGCCCACTTCTCCTGCTTACTCCAGGTTTGGTCAGTGTCCACTGCCTCCTTGCAGTGGAGAAACCTGGAGCCCCTGTCGCTCTTTTTCAAGAGCCACAGGGCAGCAGCATGGCCTTTCTCAAGCTTGCCCCTCTTTTCATGCACCTTCTTCTCATCAGGGTTCTTTTTCAAGAACCCTTGGTGCTTTTGCCAGAGAGATTGCTGCTCAGCTGGTGTCATAGCCTTTTTCAAGGCCTCAGCTGCCTCTTCTTCATCACTGTGATCCTCATTGATGGCAGCAATCTTCTCTGAGAGGGACATCTTCTGAAGCCTGCTCAGGTTCCTCTTGCACAGCTTGCCCTTTTTCAAGGGTTTTGCTTTGAGGTTCCCCTTCTGAACAGGCTTGCTGCCTGAGCTGGGGTTTGCCTTTCCCAAGGCTTCCCCCTTTGCCTTTGTCAAGGCTGCCTTTCTCAAGGCTGTGCCCTTTACCAAGGGCTGTCCCTTTGGCAAGGGTTTTGCCTTTTTCAAGGCTGCCTTTGCCAAGGCTTTGGGTTTTGCTTTATTTTTCTATTTTGAGTTCAAATTTTAGTTAAACATAAAAACTAAATTTATAGGTTTTGTAAGTTTTTCTATTTTTTTAGTTTTCTATTTGTATTTACAATTAAAAAACAACTATTTTGTATTTTTGTCAGTTTTTTGTTGTTTTTGTGTGTTTTGTTTTAAAATGTGAATTTTTGTATTTTTGCATTTAATTGGATTATTTGTATGGAGTTTTGGATGTGTTTGTATAATGTTGTTTTTGTTTTTTTAAATATAGTTTAACATAGTTTTTTACTCTATTTTTAGATTTTGTCATGATTTCTGTATTGAAAACAAAAAGTACTATTTTTTGGTTTTTGTTTGAAGTTTCCATTTATATTTTCCATTAAACAAAGAACTTTTTGGTATGGTTTATGATTTTGTGTTGTTTTTATGTTTTAATTGTAATGCAAGTATATTTGACTTCACATATAGAATTATTGCTTTCAAAACCTATTGAATAACAAACCCTTTTTGTTGTTTTAATTGAAGATTAACTCTGACTATTAAACTTACACTATTTACACTTAAATACATACAATCTATAAACACACTATATTACATATATATTTAATAACTTTTTAAAATTATAATATATAAAAAGATATTTATATTTTATGTATTTCATATTAGTTTTTCAAATTCATGTTTGGCTGCCATTTTGGCTAGCCTGCTGGAGTGAAACACACGCATGGCCTCTCACTCAGCTCTTTTTCAAGAGCTTGCTCTTTCCCAAGAGCTTGCTCTTTTTCAAGAGCTTGCTCTTTTTCAAGAGCGTTTGGCTTGGCTCTTTTTCAAGGGCCTGCAGGAGTTCTAGCTCTTTTGCAAGAGCCTGGGCCTGCCCTTTTCCAAGAGCTTGCTGGGTGCTGGTCCTTTTTCAAGGACTTGGGTGCTGATCCTTTTTCAAGGATCACTTGCAGGAGCAACCCTTTTTCAAGGGTACTGGTGCATCAGGAGGTTCCACCTTACCCTTTTGCAAGGGCTGGCAGTGTGGATGCTTTCTCAAGCATCAGCAGGCCACTTCTGAGGTTTAAATTCCTCCATGAAGCTCAGCACTGCCTCACCAAAGGTTCGGAACCTCCTGTGCTCTGGCATCCACTCATGTGGTTGTTTGTGTGTGGTGATGCCAAAGCACTTGATGCCCCAGTCATTGCACTCCCACAAGATGTCATCTCCATCATCAAAGATGGCACTGCACCCAAACCCAGTGGCAAGGTCAGCCTTGCCCCTGGGCCCAGTTCTGGCAGTGGTGGTGCCCACCCACATCAACTCCTGCGCCACCATGGGGCCAAGGAGGCTCTCCATCTCATGTTGTACCTTCTGTCTTTGTGTTCTCCCACACCAAGAACAGAGGTACACACCAATTCCTTTTTCAAGGAGTTGATGGAGAGCCTCCAAGTCCTGGGCCCTGATGGTGTCATCAGGGCCAGCCTTCAGAGTGTTGTGCCAGTCCACCATCACCTTCCACCTTTTGCAAGGTGGAGGTGATGGTGCTGCCTTGACTGGCACAGCCCCTTTTCCAAGGGTTGACTCTTCTTGCCCTTTGCCAAGGGCTGTTGATGCATCACCATCACCTTTTTCAATGGATTGTGCCTGACCTGTCCCTTTTGCAAGGGATTGCTCCTCCTCACCACCCTCTTTTGCAAGAGCTGGTGCCTCCTGCCCTTTTGCAAGGGGCTCAGAGGGCCTGGAAGGAGCAGAGGTGGCCCCTTCCTCTTCCCAGCCTTGGTCAACATGTGAGAATGGGAAGGGGTAAGGGGTCTTCTTCTTCCTCCCCTTCTCCTTTTCCAAGGACACCTTCTTTGCCTCCTTTTCCAAGGAAGCCTTGCCTGATTCCTTTTCCAAGGAAGCCTTGCCTGATTCCTTTTCCAAGGAATCACCTTTTGCAAGGTTGGGTGGGCCCTTTTCATCCTCCTGCTTGTGCTTCTTGTTTTTCCTTTTCCCTTTTTCAAGGGTTGCCTCCTGCTCATCATCCCAATGGTCTGCTGAGCTGCTGGCTGCTGACCCTTTTGCAAGGGTTTTCCTGAGGCCAAACTTACCCATCCTCATCTGAGTCAGGGCAATCCTTCTGAGGTTGGCCAGGAGCTCCTCAGTGGCCTCATCATCTTCTGGCCCCTGACCAAAGGCTTTGCCTCCCTCTTTTGCAAGAGGTTTGGTCTCCTTGGGCTCACCTTTTTCAAGGCCTTTCCTCCTCTTGGCTTTTCCAAGCCCTTTGGGGTCACCCCCACTCTGCTTTTGACCTTTCGCAAGGTTCTTACCTTTTGCAAGGTTCTCACCTTTTCCAAGGTTCTTACCTTTTGCAAGGTTCTTCCCTTTTGCAAGGTCTCCAGGGCCATCGCCTTCCTGCTTGCCACCTTTGGCTTTGGCTTTTGCAAGCCCTGTGGCTTTGGCTTTTGCAAGCCCTTTGGCCTTGGCTTTTGCAAGCCCTTTGGCTTTGGCTTTTGCAAGCCCTTTGGCTTTGGCTTTTGCAAGCCCTTTTGGAGCAGGAAGGGCAGGAGCATGATGGAGTCTGCCAAACTGTGCAGCCCTCCTTGCCTGCCTGGCCCTGGATGTGGACCCCTGCCCCCAAACCCTCCCATGGGCATTCCTCTTGGGGGCAGGGGCCACATCTGTTTCATTGGTAGAGGTAGAGGAGGAGGAGGAGGGGGGTCCTGAAGACACCTCCTCCCCCTCCTCCTCCTC